AACTGTCAATTAGATATTAATAATGTAAAAATAATACATAAAGAGAAAAATATTGTAAAAAGAAAATTTAAAGAACATTTCGCGATAATTATGCAAAGTAATGTAATGAATTTGAATAATGGGGTGATACCAGCGGAATGCTGGGAAGAGTTTGTGTTTCTTAAAGATTGTAAACGCGATGGTGTCAGTGAGAAAGATGTGTCTTCTTCTGTGTCTACGACGGAAAAAAATGTGTCGTCTGAGATACCTTCTGCTGTTCCTATTGTACACTCTAGTCATCAGAAACCCTACTGAAGAGGCCTTGACAGGCGAAATGCATTTGGGGTGAAGTATATATTTATATAGAAATAAAATTATATTTTCTTTGTTAACCTGTTTACCTTTTTTAATTTTTTATACCAGTCTACGGACTCGGGACTTATTAAGCCTCCAAAGGTCAGAAACGAATGGAAAACTAGTAGTTTTCCGTGTACTAAAGATTAGTACAGTACGGTAATAATAATAAAAAAATAGATTATCTGACTCCATCGATTCTTTTTAGAATATTTTTATATATATAAAAATAAATATTTACAAGATATGATTTATTTAAATAAAAAGTTGCCTTTTTATTTTATTTTATCATCACGGAATCTTTTTAAAAAGTGTCATTTAGACTAAAAGACAACATTTTTATTTACTAAAATTAAAATATAGTAAATTAATGTTTTTCATTCATTTATTATGGGATAATCCTTATAAAATTGTACTAAGCTCTTGCAATGATATTTTAGCTTCGCATATATTTTTAAAGTACAGTGATTAGAAATATTGCACTGTCTTTGCATGCGTAAATTGTTTTTGTTGTATTAGTTGTATATAATATGTAATATTATTTATTTATGTTTTTAATAATAAATCTATCTTAACATTTTAGAGACCTGATGGGATGTTGAAGCTATATGACATGTCTGATGAACCCGAACGTAGAATTTTTCTTGATAAATTAATTATGTATAATGAGGAACGAGGGAATGTAATAAGTCAGTGCCCTACTATCAGCAAACAGCCTCTTGATCTCTTTCGTCTTTATATTTGTGTTAAAGAACGAGGAGGCTTTGTTGATGTATGTTGTTTTCATTTGTTTTAGCATAATTTAATTTAATATTATATATAAGATTTTCACAATTTTTCATTAATGAAACCTTCATTAAAAGATGAAAGCATTCAACAAAATAAATAAAATAGGAAATTAGTAATAGTAATTATAATAAATATGAAGTTTGTTTTGTAGGAAGGTAAATATATATTGTGTATATTTCTACATAAAATTTAAATTCCAGAACAAACCATTTATATAAATTAATAAAACATTATCCTGATCAGATAATGTGATTTGTTTCAGGTTGTGAACAGCCAGGGTCATGATCATCATCCAATTAAGGTGGTTGGTTTATTCTTAAACTTACTGCATATATTTGCATGCAGCTATTCTTTGCCTTCAATATGCTGATTATTTATTATATAAGAATTTCCTTGGGGCTATTACTGTTCTTTCTTTATTTAATTGCAGTTTGCCTGAAAATGTTCATATGAAATGCCAATTTTTATTTTTAAAGTGAAATTTATTATTGTAATAAAGTTATATATACATATGTTTTATCTCATGCATGATTAAAATATATTTTGTGCGCTGTTTTATTTGTTGTATATTATTTGCATTTTGCTTATTTGTTTGTAACTTGTAAATATATTTTTAAATTATAAAAATAAATTTTTAGATTTATTTAATTGTTGAATAGTTCAATAGTTAAAATCTTTAAAAATGATATTACATATTGACATTTTCTAAGAATTGAGAACTGCTCATTCAAATGCTATTAATTCATCATACTACTGTCATCAGTTTTGATTTTATAGCATGGTGATAAATTATAATATCATTTTTTTTTTCATATAATGATATGGAAAAACTGATTTAATGGGAAAATCAACAACAGAAATGTTCATTTTATTCAAAATTATTAATAGCACTTTTTTTTGTTGTATGTAAGAAATCAAAATAACAAGACTTCATAGTTTAATTTTTCATGTTAAGTTAGCAATGAATTTATCTATGAGAATTTCTTCCATTTATAAAAATATCTGCTTAAAATTGTTTTTAATAATTTTAGTTCAGCACATTGTTTTTTTTCTTGTTTATTTACATAATACAATAATATACTNTGCTTTTTTGTATTTATAGTATATTTATGTAATTAGTACAATTTGTGTATATTCTATTTTAAAGGAGATAAAAAACATATGATAAAAGCTGTTGGATAGCATAATTTAGAATAATAATACTTATGAATCGATAATGTTACTTTAGGTACCAAACGATTGCCTAAATAATCTGGTTATAGCCCGATTATTTAGGTGATAATTTGGTGATATATATATTGGGTATTGGGATGTTTGTTATACTTATTATGTAGGCATCTTTATGTAATCTTTATATATATAAGAATTTAGTCTGAACTATATCATGGCATTACAGGTAGTCATACAATATCTGTTAGTAATTTTAATAATTAGATAAGTTAAAATATTAATTTACCTGTCTATAATGCCAAATTAATTTAATGATTAAATAATCTAATAATTTAGTAAATTTCTGAGAATTGTTGAAGTTTGTTAATATTTGAAATATGTGTAACTTATCAGAATGTGTAAGTTGTAATCAGTAAAGTTTCATTTGAGAATATTTGGAATATAATGAGTCATTAGTCAATATAGCAATATATAATAATTATAATTATATAATAGTTTGAATTAATATATTTCTAGAAAGACTTTGACTTGGTATTGTTTGATATTCAGAGTTTATATTTTGCATATACTAACATATTGAGTATGAATTAATAATTTGAATTTCATTCTGCCTAATGATTTGCAGACTACTTTAAATTAAATTAAATTATTTTAAGTTTAATGATTAAAATTGTCAACAGGTGTTGGTGTATGGGGTACCAATGTCACATTTTTTATAATTAAATAATTTAATGATCAATTAGAAACCAGTACTTTTAAAGTTATTTCTCTCTTTTCTTTGTTTTGCTGTTATTGTTAATAGTTTTAAGTCTGGTTTGTTTTCTTAAGTAAATTTACTGATAAACTGTAGTTACCAACTTTTTGTTTTTAAAGGTAACCAAAGCAAAACAGTGGAAAGATGTTGCCGGTGCTCTGGGTATAGGTGCCTCATCTAGTGCTGCGTATACTCTTAGAAAACAATACATTAAACATTTACTTCCATTTGAATGCAAATTTGATAGAGGAGGTATTGATCCTCAACCTATCATTAGTCAAGTTGAAGCATCTTCACGTAAAAAGTCTAAAGGTATTTTATTTAATTATCTTATTAATATCTTCTTAATTTATAGTTTTTATTGGAAATTTTAATGTAGATATTATTAAATGTTAAGAATTTATCACAAATTAAATTAAAAATGAAATTCCAGAAAAAAGTGAACTTTAAAAAAATTTTTTTTTTAAATATATAAATAATGTTATTCAGGTTTTCTATTGTTTGCAAAAGTTTGATGATTTGTTTTTAAGCAAATTCAAGTCATTAAAATGATTGTAATGTGTAAAATATTTAATAAAAATTATTGAAATGAAACAGATATAACAATATGTAAAGTTTTTTTTTTCCAATAGCAAGACTAGTGATCTTTATTGTGTCTCTCTTAATTATCCACAATAAACAGAGACCAAGATTAAAACTATCCACTTTATTTGACTAATTTAACTATGCATTTCGGATTGGTAATTATTTTCCAATCCCTCTTCAGGCTACAAATTTTAAATTTTAAAAAATATATTAACAAAGCACAAAACAAAGGGTGTTGCAAACAAAGTTGGGTAAAGAGACACAACAACCTTAGACACTGGAGCTGTGAGGTTCGTTTTACATACTTGTAAATTTTAATTGTTTTTTGGTTTGTTTATATATTTTTAAAATTTAAAATTTGTAATCTGAAGAGGGATTGGAAAATAATTACCAATCCAAAATGCATAGTTAAATTAGGCAAATAAAGTGGATTGTTTTAATCTTGATCTCTGCTTATTGTGTAAAATTAAGAGAGATGTGATAAAGATTACTAGAAACATTTACATGATTTTAATAGTTACCATGTGTTAATAATTTTTTAAATCATTTGGTTATTACTGTAAGGCATTAATTTTTCACATTATGATTGAAACAAGTTGGATTGTTCATATTTACAAAGTAAAATTTTTGTCATTAATACAAATAAAAGAACTGATTCTTCTTTTATTACTGTCAAACCAAATTACATTGTAAAATATTCAAATTAAGACAATTGTTATCATAGTTTAATAATTTCGGTATTTATAAAATTTGATTTATATTTTGGAATTATACAAATTTTTTCAGTTTTTGCACTGGAGTTATTAATTTTTCTTGTGCCAAAAGAGTAAAAACGTTTTCCTCTTCAATGCCATAAATAACTACAAGTCAAAACATGCAATTTGACTTGCAATTATTTGATTGTTTTAGTAATTGTTGAATTATTTTTTGTGTTAATTTTTCTTGTGCCAAAAGAGTAAAAACGTTTTCCTCTTCAATGCCATAAATAACTACAAGTCAAAACATGCAATTTGACTTGCAATTATTTCAGCTATGATACACAATTATTTGTTTCTGTCGAAAATGTTTGTCTTTCTATTTCTTTTCTTTTTATGCAGCTATCTAACTGATCATAAAAAATGTACTTATTTATAATATTTGGTTTACTTTATATAAATTAATTGACTGAACCACTTTAAATGTTTCATTATAAGTAAAAACTTTTACGTTATTTAGATATTAAATATTTATAATTATTATATAGAATGAAATGTTTTAATTATATTATTACACTATTTGAATATTTATATAAAACAATCAAATAATTGCAAGTCAAATTGCATGTTTTGACTTGTAGTTATTTATGGCATTGAAGAGGAAAACATTTTTACTCTTTTGGCACAAGAAAAATTAACACAAAAAATAATTCAACAATTACTCAAACAATATTAAAAGCACAAATTAAAATTTTTATTTATATTTGTGAATACATTTTAATAAAATTATAGTATTTAAATTAAACTAAACCTGTATTTTGAAAACTTCCCAAAATATCAATTGTTGTATATATTGTACATGAGACATGAAAAAAGTCTAAATAATTTTATGCCATTCATTGCATTTACATGCAAAGTGCATAATTATGGTTAAAGTGTAAAACATTTGAGTGATAGTTATTTTAAGTTGTTGCATCTGCATTATGATATTGTTTTTTAGATTTGTTATTTAGCACAGTGTTTTTCAACCTTCTTGAATATGCGACCCCTTTACAAGTTAAAAAATTCTGGCGACCCCCCCCATAGGGCCATATTAAGACTATATCAGTGATTTTAAAAACTATGTATTTAATTTTCTTTCTGTTGAGACAAATTATTGTTGATTAAAATGAAAACTTCGGAAGAATCGACAATAACTTAACACACATAAAGTATGAAACTTCCTTTAATGAAGTGTAGGACTTACAAACACTTGTCTTTCTCTTTTACCCACGACCCTCCTGGGGTCGCGACCCACAGGTTGAAAAACACTGATTTAGCATATTATCACATGCAACTTATTTCATAAGGATTAAAAAATGTTATGACGACTATTTGAGAAATTGTTTTTTATTCACAGTATCATTTTAATAATCAAGAACAGTCACTGAAAAACTTATAATTAATCATTATGAAATCATTACTAAATAATAATAAATAAATGTTAATAAATATGTATGAAGTCAGTTTTTAAATTACAATTTATAATATTATTTATTTTTATCATCATTATATGCTGCAAACAGGAAACAACATTTCCTATGTTCTCAGCATTTTCAATAAAATAAATCTTTGTTGCAAAATTAAATATAAAGTTTGTAACTAAAACTTATATAAAAGGTAAATTTTCTATGTATTTAAGAAGTGATATAGATAAGAAGTGAATAACCATTTGGAAAGAAATTTGCACAAATTTTTTGCAAAATATCTTTCCTTATGTGAGCAAAAGATGATTTAAATTAAATTTTATTTTTGCATTGTTAAATAGTAATAAAGTTTTTAAAAATCTTAATTTTATAGTACAAACATTTACAAGATATTCTTATTTAATTTTATTTGGACAAAATTAAAATTTGAAAAAGGAATTACAGTTGTAATTCACATGTCTGTTTATGTAGTAAAACATAAATATACTACAGGATTAAAATATTTTATATTTAATTGTTATCTTTGTTGTAATTTCTCCATTGAACATGTATTATGTAAATTTTTTCAACATATCATCTTTATGCTATCATTATTTTTGAAGCAAGTATCTTTTGAAACTGAATTTGTTGGATTGTTATTTAGATCCATTCTACAAATGATGATAGTTAGATAAATCGTAATAGTTAGATTTCTTAATTGTTCCTAAAGATACATATGTTTAACATACAGAGTGTATGAACATAAAGCAAATTACTTATAAGTCAGTTTTGCCAAATTCTGATTTACATTTAACTAGCAATCTATATATATATATATATAAATGGAGTGTGTGTCCCTATATTTCACTTTTCAGCCAAAACTACACAACGCACATGAATGGTGTTTGTATGTGGTAGTAGCCCCAAGTCTCCATTCGTGCACTATGGTGGATAGCTATAAGGGTACGGGAGCTATGGGCTTGAAAGTGGTTGAAAGTGGAAGATTTTCTATTTCGATTTAAAAAATTTTCGAATTCGAATTTAAATTCCAATTGGTTTGATTATAGAATGATTGTAAACGTTCCAGAAAATTGATCAAATTGAAAATAGTTCGTTTGACTGGACGTAAAAATTCTCTAATTAGTCTGGAAACGGGGGACCTAATTCTTGCATTCTGTGAAAACGGGTAAGATTGGCTATAATGTAATTATCTTAATCTTCACTATTGTTACTTTTTGCCCACAAATAAAAATCCAGCGAAGCAGGTCCTTTCAGCTAATTGAAAAATAAAAATTTTTTAAAGTAGAAGTGTTATTATTATTTTAGATTTGTATTTTATTTGCATATCTAATAATTTTTTGGAAAATCAAATAGTAATGAAATGTAGAGTTTGATATTTGTGATAAACAAAACAAAATATGAAAGTAATTAGTTTTGATGGATTTTATTATTTAGGTAATAATGGTCAAGAACCATATTCACAGACAGGTTCTAATCAAATGATGGAAAATTATCCATCTTCAGGTTTTGGTAGCCCTTATCCTGCTCAAAGTTCGCATGGTGGACCAGGAATGATGGCTAATGCTGATTATCCATCAACAACAATTGGTCACCCATCTTATCCTGATAATTTACACCATGGAGGATCAGTAACAAATCATTTACCTAGTGACAATAGTATGGATCCATATAGTGATGAACTTCAGTCCAATCAGTATCAGAGACCTCCAGCTGATAGTTATGGTTATAATCAAGCTTCTGTACCTTATCCCAACAGTCAGTCTAGTATGAGTGGTGGAACATATGGATATACAGGATCCTCCCTTCCTCAGCATGAACAGTATGGGGACCAATATTCTTCCCACCCGTCTAATATGATGTCTTCCTCCAATGGTAATTATGGGAGTAGAAATATGATACAAGATCCTTATGGACAACCTCCTGGCAGTTTTCCACCTAATCGTACTGTTGGACAGCATACTGGTTCATCTCAATATCCTTATCAAGGACATTGTGAACAAGAAAGGTAAGCAATTACTATTATAAAAATAGATATGCTTAAATATTGATTTAAGATTATGTTATATTTAAGTTTTGCTTTCTTTAAAATTAGTTATTAATAAATTTGTAAAATGACTAGTTATTCATGCTTGAATTGTTATAATACTGATTAATTATCTTCCTAATTTATTTTATATTTCTTTTTTCTTTTTCATGCAACACTAATAAATATGTATAATCAAAAAAGAAAAAATGGTGATATTTATTATATTTCGTTCTCCCTTATCTGTCTTAAAAATAAATAATACTCCCTTGAGCCAGATATATTTCTTTCTACATGATTTTGATTAATTTTCTTTAAACCTAACATATAAATCATATCTTCCATTGATAAGACATATAGTTTATATATTAGTGTAGTGTGATATAATTTTTTTCTCTCAAAATGATCATTCAGCTTAATGTATGAATGGTATGGTCTTCTAATTGAAACAGTATAGGAATTTACTTTGATATAAAATGTAAAATTTAATTTTTATTGTAAAATATAAAACCTAGTTACATTTGTAGAAAATTATAAAAATAAGATGGTTTTTGCATTACATTGATTAACAAAATGATTAATACTGCTTTTTTGACACAAAATTATCAATATGATTTGTTGGTTTCAATAAAAATAGTTTGATGAATAATTCAAGAGTAGGATTAGTAATTTGAAACTAAAGGTTTAGCTTCTCAAGAATTTCATGTTTTTTTTTTTACATTAGTTATTATTTTGGCTTTTTGTTTTAAATTTAATTAATTTTCAAATAGAAAAATTGTATTCTTGAGCATAATTATTGCTATACAAAGAGAAAATCTTAAGAGAGAGCTCTGATGCATTCTAAATTAATTTCTTATTAAGAACTTCAAAATTTTCTGAGATTTCTTTTTTGTTCCTTTTGGAAAAAATATTTTTAGATATTTTAAAAAAAGGTTGCTTATTCATTTTTAGATTTATTTAATTGTTGAATAGTTCAATAGTTAAAATCTTTAAAAATGATATTACATATTGACATTTTCTAAGAATTGAGAACTGCTCATTCAAATGCTATTAATTCATCATACTACTGTCATCAGTTTTGATTTTATAGCATGGTGATAAATTATAATATCATTTTTTTTTTCATATAATGATATGGAAAAACTGATTTAATGGGGAAAATCAACAACAGAAATGTTCATTTTATTCAAAATTATTAATAGCACTTTTTTTTTTTTTGTTGTATGTAAGAAATCAAAATAACAAGACTTCATAGTTTAATTTTTCATGTTAAGTTAGCAATGAATTTATCTATGAGAATTTCTTCCATTTATAAAAATATCTGCTTAAAATTGTTTTTAATAATTTTAGTTCAGCACATTGTTTTTTTTCTTGTTTATTTACATAATACAGTAGAACCTCGAAAACTCGGCTCTCGATAACCCGGCACTCCGGATAACTCGGACACACCCTGGCAGGGCAAAAAAATCCTTAGTTAATTAATTTTCATTATAGACAGCTTTATAAAAGTATAAAAGCTCTCATAAAGTATTTTTCTGAGGTCTGTCTTATCAGGTAAATTACTGTACACAGTGTATTCATTAATTTTCATTTTCATGTAGTAAAGGCTCTATGCCTTCNGATTACCAGAGGATTGAATTTATCAAGTTATTATATATTAAGATATTATGGAATTCCATCTTAATATTTATATATGTGTATAATTTTTAACAATTATGTATGAAAGTTTTTGTCATTTATATTTTTACATTTAATTTTCTTTCTTAGGAAAATTAATAACAAAAGCTATATCAGTTTTGTTATATGATATAAACAATTTCATTCAAAACTAACTCCAATTTTAATTATTACAAATTACTTGTTATTAGTAGCATATGAAATACTACAAATACTATTTGTTTTAGTTTAATTGGAAACTTTTCATAAATTTAAATGTTTTTTATTATTAAATCTGAATAATATCTAATATTTTTTAAATTATTCAGTTTGAAGAACTCAGAAGTTTTCTTTTCTGATTTATGACTTTCACAATATTACAAAAATTTTAAGCTGCATGTGTTTTAATATGATGATAACGAGGTCTTAAGTTATTAAAAATGTTAATATAAATCAAATTGTTTACAAATTCTTCAATCTTTGGAAACTTTTTACATTTTTTCAAGAGTGTAACATATATAATAATATATAATTAGAACTTGAGATGAAAAATATTTCTCACATTTTGTTTTGCAATTCTGATCGTTTGTTTGATTCTTTTAGAAAATAACATGTTTTTAAATTCATAAATTCTAATGATAGGAAATTATCATTTTGAAAAAGTTTTTATTGTATTTAAACTATGAACAAAATTATTTTCAACAACATACTTAACTTTAAAATATATACTTCATATGGAAGATTATTGTTGTTTTTTTTTTCTTTTAAATTATTAAGAAATAAAAAGTTCAAATGTTGTCATTTATTAAAAGTTAATAAAATCTTATATTGAATTTTAAAATTTTTGATGATTGTATTGTAGGTATGATCAAACTCAAGCCACTACTATTCAGCCTCCTTCACAAACAAGTGGAATGATTCCTTCTAATTCAGACCACACCAATTATCCACCTCAGCGTTATCCTGGTAGTCAAGCTATTCCTCCATCTAATAATGCTTATCAGAATAGAACCACAGGGCAATATCCCAATAATCAATCTACTTACACAATGTGCCAACAAGATACCTATCGAAATCCTGATGTTCCAACCAATTTTCAGGTAAGAATCAAATTTTGAGTCAAAATTTGATTATTTTTTTTTCCTTAAAATGCTAAGTGCAGAAGAAGCAATGATTTTATTGTTATCAAATAAAATAACTTCTTACTGAATTACTGGAAAGTATAAAGGTTATTAAGGTGCACTTTATTGTTATCATCGTTGTCTTTTTTCATGATTATATGACATGGAATCATAACCTAACACTGAAGAAAATTCAACAGTCATTTTACCTATCTAACCACTGTTATGAGTATAAATGGTTTTTAATCAAAGTAACAAAATAGTAAAAAATAATCATTTAAATTTTGGGACAATGAACAAGAAATTTGATTGTACTCTTTTTTCACCAAAAACTTCTAGAAGTGTTAACTAAAATGAACATTTTGTATAATGATTTTTGATCATTTTTATTTCAAGTAACATACTGATAGAAATGTTTTTGTTTTGTAAAATTTGTTTATCATAAATAATTTCTTCTGTATTTAGCAAATAATTAAGTACTGGGTGATAGTAATTAAAGTATTCCTATTCGGCATTGTCTAGAGAGATATTTAGCAGTCCAAATGCAATTAATTTTAGTATAGTGGCACTACAGACCCTGTGGAAAGCATTCCTGTTAAAAAAAAAGTAAAAAAAAAAATAGTACTAAAAATTACCACTATGACACCTTTTGATGCTTTGCATCTTAATATGTAGGGTTTTGTTATTGTGGGAACACTAAAAAATTGTGATTTATTAAGGACATGTTGAAAATTTGGCAGCCTTGGAAGATAGTTTCACACTACCTGTGAGGAGAATCCCAGAAGATCACCCAGAGGATTGTTGGCCATTGAAGACAGTTCATTGCTTTCAGATTTTACATCTGAATGGGGATCACATTGAGCAGTATCACCTGCATTAATAAGCTCTCTGTATAGCATGAGTGCCTTGTGCATATAAAACATTTGTTACTTGCAGAACCAAAAGTGTCATAATGGTAAGTTTGGTACCAGTTTTTTAATAGCAATCTTGTGTATCTTGAAATGTTATCATACCAGATTTGGTTACATTTGGACTGCTAAATATCTCTTTGGATATTGTTGAGTAGGACTACTTTTATTATGATCATCTGATATAATTTGAAGTGTTATACATGAAACTTTATTTTGCTTTAAACTTACAAGATTTATAGTGCTTTATCTTAAATTTATGGTTAAATAATAAAATTACTCTATACAGTTATAAGTTATTTTAAATTTAGAATTTAGCAATGTAATATTTTAGGATTATTGTCTATAGATACAATTTATAGTTACATTAAATGTGATTAATTGTTGAAAATATCTTAAAAACTTCTTACTATTGTGATGTAGAATATCATGTTATTCTTTCTATAAAAATTGAAACTAATTGAAATAATTTTTTTATTATAAATGTTTTAAATATTGCATAAAATTGCAGAAAAAGATTAAATAAATTTCTTTTTCCTGCAACCCCACTTGAACATTAACAAATTTTTGAAACTTTAACATTGAATTTATACACACTATTTATTTAATGCTTTATTTTAAATGTTTTTCTTCAAAATCTAACTAACAAAAAATAATAAAAGACAAATTAAATTTAAAATTACTTAATTTAGTAATTTGATCACAAATTTGCTAAATTTTCAAGATAGTTGGCCAGATTTCTTTTGGAAAATCTTAATTTTCTGCATTATTTCAGTTTTATTTAGTTTTGTTTAATCTATCAGTTTATATTTCCAGATAAAACAATAACATAAATATGCCAGTAGTTTTTGAGATGAGAAAGATATACATTTTTTTGTTATTATAATTCATTTAATATACTATGATACGCTTCTTGTCTAGACTTCTTAACGACTTGTGAGCACTAAGATTGGCCTTACTTTACCGCTAGACTTATTATACCACCACAGGACCACAAATTTTAAAGTACTTTAAAATTGTTAACCTCCTCTTAATTTTGTAGCATCAAAAGCTGATGAGGGACTCCAGGTCCGAAATGCATTCTGAAAATAAAACGGGGTTTTTCTATGTCTAATTTGTGGTCTTGTGGTGGTGTAATAAGTCTAGCGGTAAAGTAAGGCCAATCTTAGTGCTCACAAGTCATCATCATTTAATATAATTAAAAGTCTTTGTATTACACATATACAGTAGAAAAACAAGACAATAATAGGTTTATATCAATGAAGTTTAGACATTTTCATTTATCACATCTATTTTAAAAAATGGTTTTTATAAGATTGAATGCCATCAATGCAATTCTCAGTTACCAAATAATTTGTAAACTCAGTTTTACATTTTATTAAGAACATCTAATTTCATTAATGGTAATAATCTACACTTAAATGTGTTGCTTACATTCTTTTTTTTGATAATAAAAAATCACCTACACTCGGCCCGAACTTAACCTACTGCAACAGAAACTACATTTCTGTTGCAGTAGGTTGCCTTCTCATTGATGGGAATGCTGTCGCTATTATATCACTCTGCCAATTTCCACATAGACTTAGTGTTAATGACTTTTTCAACCTAATGCATGTGGTGTTCTGTTGTTTCATCAATAAATGAGTTTTACAAAGTACAGAACACCACGCACATGTGGTTGAAAAAGCTAATAACATTAAATCCCCGTGGAAACCACGAATATAATAGTAACAACATTATCATCAATGAGAAGACACCCATAGACTCCATTTTTGTAGATAAAGTTGAGACCATGTAGTGTGTCTGTAGGTTGACCACACTTGCTAAAGAAAACGCAACAACAGCAACTTTCCTAAGTATCTACATTACTTTTCTGACACAAAATATGCAACTGTTACGCAACTGAAGGATGGTCGTGGCGAAAAGAAACGGTCCGAATGTAATGTTTATTCGACTTAATTCTGACTCGGCCGCGAATTTTTCGACAAGATTTAGCTCCGAACGAGATAGGGGATACGTGAAAATTGACGACCGTCCCGAATGACCAAAAGCACCAGTATCCTAAATGCGATACATCTCGAGATTTTAAATACCAGAGTTTTAATTACGTCACTTCCGGTTAGGCAAGTATTAGCGCCGTAGAGGCGAAAGATCCGGTTCCGCTGCTGGAACCGGAACTGTTGGAACGGATTCGAGTGCGAAACGGTTCCTGGGAACGATAGCTTAGTCTGTTGGACTAGACTGCCCCTCGTCGGTTTTATATATGATATAAAATGTTTCTCTCTCCATTCTTTGTTTTTCGGTCGATCCGCTTCAAATTATTCTTGTTTAACTAGGAATCCGAGGAAAATATAGACTACTAGCTTACCCGTCGCGCATTGCTGCGATCTCAGAAGAGATGAAATTCAAGCAAACTCGTTATAATAAAATTAAATTTTCATTTTATCATTTTTATTGAAATATATTATTATTATTCGTTTTCATCGGGAAAACATTTCAAAGTGTCGTTTCAATTCTATTTATTTATTGGAGTGCTCGTGGATACACGATATTTTTTGTTTTTTCGTCTGGTGCGTACACGAATAATTCGGAAGGTTTTCCGACGCGTGAGCTGGCCACATACAGTTGTCCATGCGAGAAGCACGGATTCTCCAAATTTAGCCCACACACTTGCAGCGATTGTCAAAAGCGCGATATTCCCCATTTATATATATATTTTTAAATCCTTTATAATTTTAATTATTTAATTGCTCCTTCCTCTCTTCCTTGGCATGTTGGGAAATTTCTGATAGTTAGATAATAAACCGTTTTATTGTAATTTGTCTTTTTAAATTATTTCGAGTCGATATTAAAATTTGAAAAAGGGCGATACCTAGATCGGTAAAATAGGCGAATTTCTTCCTACAACTTCGGTCGTTGTTCGGGGTACAGTTAAGATTTTAACGAAGTTCGAGCGAAAACATAATTAGCAAAAAAAGTCGAAATAAAGTGATTAAACAAAAATGATTACAAATATCGTAAATAACAGTTCACAAATGCATATATAGAGACATATATATTTTTGAAGGGGGGAAATGGTCTTCACAATTTGAAATCGATCAAACACACTATGCGCGAATGCTCGTGTAAACGCGCGCCATCTATCGTAGGATAAATGTACTTCGCGGGAGTGTATTAAAAAACTTCCCGAAGTTTCATGGCAATCGTACTATGCCACAAACCTTCGCCGGAGTATATTAAACAACTTCCCAAAGTTTCATGGCAATCGGATAAACGGTGTGGTAATGCATGAAGGACATAGGACACACAGACAAGCATACATTCATTTTTATATATATAGATCACGAAACCCGGACATCTTACCACTCCGCTGATTTCGTCCCTCCTTATTAACTCCCGAACCCTTTGTCCGATTCGCATCAAATTTTTCACGCTTATTCTATGGGACTTGGAGGAAAACATAGACTTTCACGAAATCCAGACGCCCCACTCTTCCCGATTTGATCTCCTCGAATACTTTGCGATAAACATAACGATTGTAAGCTAAAATAACCAAATTTGTAATACGGTTTTCATTTTAATGTTTACCATTTTGCCGTTTGGACACGTCTGTCGGCTATTAATAAAACAAATAATTACGAACTGTAATAAAAATATCAATTTTTAAAATATCTTTGTAAATTTAAAATAGTCTAAACTAATTTTTATTCCTTTGTGGAACATTTTCATTAGTTCAAGTTCGAATTCAGAAAAAAATTCACCGTTTCGTGGAAAACAGTATTCGTAACAGTTTCGCCACGTTCCCAGTGTCTTTTTTTAAGGTTTTTAAGCTGAGTGTTTTGATTGAAACGATATGAAATAAAATTAAAATAAAAATTAATTTAAAAATTTCGAAAATATGCCATAATTTAAATTTCTGTCGATTTATTCGAATTCGAAGATTCTCAAAAATCGCCCTCTAATTAAAGATGGCCGATTTCGTTCGAGAAGAAGGGGGCGCTTTGATTCAGAATTTGACGGTAAAATAAAGATAAATTTAATTATTTTAATTATTAATTTTTCGTGTATCCGAAACAAACGCGAATATTGATGCGGCCGTCTTTTATTTGGAAGCATTATCATTTTTGTAAAATAATTATTTACAATTCGAAATTAATCCCTTTCAATAATTATATTCCTGCTTTTAATAGTCGCCGACTATCGGCTTTTTGTATGCTCCGTCAGTGGACGGGTTGCTTTTCTTTTTTGTCGGCGTTTTTAACGCGCCACTGTGCCGCATAAAAAATTAAAATTAATGTAATTAGATATAACAATATTAGTTGTTAAATCTGAAAGTCGACGTTTGCCTGAGTAAAATGAAACAATAATAATGTTATTTCATCCAATTACAACAAAGAAAAGAGCTTCTGTAAACGGAGTAATAAAACAATTAGCACCCGGTTGACATTCGCAGTGGGAGTTGATCTCGGAGTGCTAAAAATCTCCCTATTCGTGTAAATAACTTTCCCCGACTTGTTCTCGAGAAAGAATGTGTTCTACTCCAACAACAAACAAACTCGACGTCGATCGCGAAACGTGAGATAATTTGATATATTTATTTTTTTGCATTTGCCAGTAAATTACATAATAATAAATATAAATGATATAGATTTGTTGATTCGGGAGGGTTTTATTTTTAACGTTACGGTTTCGGACCAGGGACGGGGCTTGACGTATCCGGATGGATCGCTCTCCGAAAAATTTCCGGCGATTTTTTGACCCCGGGTCCTTGGCCCGGCGGGCTGCCGCCTCGACCGTTTGGCCGCCCCGCCGCTTCGATTTCGGAGTATTTTATGCGGTCGGAGAGCGGTCGTAATGCAAAAATTCGGAATATGATTGTATTCCGAATTTTTGATTACTTTTTGATGCACTCTCCGTAATTTTGCAATTTTTAATTAAATTAATTGGGTCCGTTACGCCCGATGCGGCGTGCGGACGGTTAAATAATTTGATATTATCGCGTAAACGCTTTGTTTAACTAGTCTGGTGTTAATATACGTGCCGAAGACGTCGTGTGTTTTATTACGAACGACCGAAGCCGACCGTAAGGACGTTCTCGGATTTCTTTGATTGCGAAAGATCAAAGACCGAATTTCTACGTATGTATGAGAATCTTAGCCCAAATGTGATAATTTTAAATGACAGAAAAGATAAAGTTTATCTTAGAGTCTGGCAACTTTAGTATTGTCACGTTGGAGATTAAATTAATTATGGCCGAATTGTATCGGAAGGAAACGAATCACTTTTACGGTTAGGCTGTACCAAATTATTGAGCTTTTTATGATGATGGTGTTTTTCTACCGACGTCCCGGCTGTTCCCCATTCTAAAGGTTGGCAGGTATAGCTGTTTTACTTTCCCATGATTATGTAATAAAGGGAAAGTATGGCAATTAGTAAAAAAAATGACCCATTGGAAGGAAATTTTTACATTTTTTGGACACTGAAAAATGTGAAGGAAGTTGGGGGATTTTTTCGTACGTATGTACGAGGGCCGTTCGATAAGTAATGCACGTAATTTTATTTCTCGGCTGTTTTTCGTTGGAATTGAACAAAACTTTGCATGACGTATTTTTAACAATTGTTGTATAAAGGCACAAAGTTTCCATTAATTCCGTTGGGTGGCTATAATGTAGTTTAGTTTTAAAATGGCAGCTGCACTTGAGACACATAAAAAGCAGAAAGCTGTGATTGAATTTCTTTTAGAGGAGCATGAGACCATCTCAAACATTCACAGATGGTTACAACGTGTCTATGGGGATGAAGCAGTGGATCGGAGTACTGTCAGTCGTTGGGTTAGCAGAATGTCAACAGCAGAACAAGGTAAAGCGAGACTGTCAGATCTTCCACACTTGGGATGGGCACATGCTGCTGTGACTCTGGAGACAGTTCGACACGCCGATAGGCTTATTCAAGACCACAGGCGAGTAATAATCAAACAACTTACTGTTCAACTATGTTCTCTGTGGGTAGTGCCAACACAATTATCCACCACTTAGGTTATTCTGCATGTCAGGAAGTGGCTGAGAGAGAGACCAGCTGAGTGGTACTGAACTGGCATCTAGGTGGCGTAAGGTCATAGATTTAAATGGAAACTATGTGGAATAAGAGTATTTGTAGCCAATTAATTGGGGAATAATGTAGTATATTTGGATTTATAAAAAAATAGCTCTTTTTCTTACTCAAGATTTATGTGCATTACTTATTGAACATCCTAGTATATATGTTAGTGTATGTGGGGAGCATGATTATGTTTATCTAATTTGGTGTGGGTGTAGCTTAATATTTTAAAAATCTTCAGATGTTTCTGTGACACCCTGTATTTAATCAAAAAAGAAATCATAATGCAAATAAGATTGGTTATTGGTTAGAGTGATAAAGTTGAATGTTTTACAATTTGTTTGTTGAATGTTTGAAATGTTAAAAGTTGAATGTAAAGTTGAATATTTTACAAGAATTTTTGAAAGGATGACAAATTTTACTCTTTTCAAAAAAGACATGGTTAGCAAAACTTATTTTTACTTTAGATTTCAGTTATTTATGTGCCAACCCTAATAAATATAATGAGAACATCATTACGGGTGTAAAGTCTTAATGAGTTTGTTGTGAAATTACTCTGAATCTAATCAGTGCCACATCTTATCAGAAAATGCAGAGTTCTTCCCTTACAATACAATAATAAAAATCAAAAGTCATGGTTCTGTCAAAAAACATCGTACCAAATATTTCAATGTTAGATAACAAAAATCAAACTTTAATTCATTACAATTTTGTCTGTCTATAGCAAAAAATTATCCACTTATTGAGTAGTATAACATTTTTTCTTGCATTGTATATGACATCATTTTGGAAAGTATTTCAATGTTTTGGCACTTATAAAAATTCCCCAAATAAATTTTTCAAGTGAATCTGTAAAACTTTCATAGTGTAATGTTTGAAAACTTCATAACTCTTGTAATATAAGTATCAGATGATTATCTAAAAATATACTAGGTTTTTTTTAAAAACCATATCATGCAGGTATTCCTTGCTTAATGCGGTTTTATTTAACTTGGGATTTGATTAACACACGAAATTAATTGTGGCAATCACTTTATATATGTGGCAGAAGTTTTAATTTACGTGACTTTACCAGCTGTCTTTACTTAACATAGATACCGTATTTTGATTAATATGATTTTGATGTGCGTGATAGGATCGAGGGATTAATTAACCACGTTAATCAAGAGATACTCATATTCATAATTGAGTACTCATACTTTTTAGACATAAATATATATATATTTATTATTAGCAAATAGTTTTATTTATTTGAATAAAAAAATATATAATATGGTAAGTTTTTAAAAAATAACTATAAAAATTTGAGAAAGTGGAGTTTTATAAGGTAAGATGTTTTATTATTTATGCCTGAGATGCATGAAATCACAGTAAGCATTTATGATTCCACTGTTGAATTTGTAATATTTTAAAAAGTAACTTTTATTAATAGTATTAATTAACAGAAATAGTTTTTGATAAATTATTTATAGGTAGTTTCTTTAAAAATTTTTGATCAATTTTAGGCAAGATTTAGCAATTTAAAATTAACTTTAAAATAATGCAAGATTTTTATCCTTGAAAAATTAGTACAGTACAAAATTAATATGTTAGAAATACATTTTTTCTATTTAGATGATTTGCAAACATTTATTTAGAAATCTTATTTTAATAAATTTGTTATGAAGATATAATATTAAAAGTCAAATAATTTATTTTGTTTGAATTACAATTACAAATTCATTANAGGTAATAGTTGTTAAAACCTGGATTACTCTTATTTTCAAAGCAAATGTAAAAAGTTGTATCTGATGCATGTAGTGTGAAGTTGTTATTATTTTTTTTATAGTATAATTTTATTCTTGTTTCTAAAAATTTGCATGTTAAACAAAATCCTGTTGAAATTGTATGTATAATTGATATCTATAGAATCAGACGGTTTGTCTCCAGAGTGTTTTAGCACAAAGGCTGTTTCCAAAGATGTCACAGAATATTCAAGTAAGTAATAGTTTATATTTCATAAATTCATATAAAGTTAAATGTAAGATTGTGGAATTTGAATTATGTTTAAAAAATTCCCAAATAATTTGTTGAGTAAATACTGGCATTTTTTGTTGAATTAATATGTAGATATTATTAATGTTACAAAATTTTAATTGTTATAAGTGTACCAAATATTTTAAATTTTACTTGAAAGTTATATTCATAATAAAAGTTATTTAAATTTATTAACCATATTTAAAGATAACTGTTTAAAATAGCAACTTTTTATTGATGATTTATATATATTTTTAATATGTTTTTTATTTCATCTTCAAAACATTTTACATTATGTATTTCATATCACTATATTATGCATAATAAGATGAAAATCTATTTACTTTAAAGAATTAATATATAATAATATTATTGTTTTAAGTACTGTATATCTGATACATATTTAGGAATATATTAGAATAATAATTCATTGAATGGAAAAAAGCATTTTAATTAGAAGGTAAAAAGAATTATGTATTAAGATACCAATGTAGATGTTAAGTTTAAAAGAATCGAAGCTAGAAGAGAGTTTAAATCACATAAAAGTACACCTTTGAACAGTTTCCCAGCAATGTTTTTCTTTTATGACAAATATTTTTCGTTCCCTTCATAAGCCTGCCTCAGGCCTACCAGATTCCAAATTTCAGTGTTCTAAATTGGAATGTTAACTTGTATGATGACATGTTTTCTGTAGATTTTAAAATTTTAAATTTTGAAAATGATATAACTACCAGGTTTTCTACCTGGTACTATCTGAAAGTAAAGCATTTTATACCTGAAATAATACCATACCTATTTGTTGATATTTTGCTGCACTTTTTTCAAGCAGTTGTTTGATCATGAAGATGTGATCTGTTATTAATTTTCCTGATGTGAAACCACACTGTTCTTGTAGGGTCTAGAATTCATTTTCCAATTTTTTTATTTAATCATACTCTCTGAACACTTCATTACAAATGTCTCTGTAATTGATACATATCTTTTTGTTGTATTTTATGAATATTGATATTAGTTAGTCCAGATTTATTTCATTTGGGATCTATCCTTTCAGTATATCACTTATTAGTTTAGTTATCAACTTGAGTATATTGTCCTCTGTACTTCAGTAATTCAAAATTGATTCCATTTGGAACTGGCATTTTGCCATTCTTCTCAGCTGCTAATTTCTTCTTTTCTTTCTTTTCTGTCACATTAAAATCTTGTTCCATCAAAGATGAAATTACTCATGTCTTTCAGACAAGTTCTTTTCTGTCTTCATTCATTAGTTCATTGAAGTATGATTTCCAGTCTTTCATTGTTATCAAATTTATCTGCACTGTGTTTTGATTTTCTTCTCATTGACTTTAAGATTGGCCATGCTCTGCTGATTGTTGGAAACCTACTTTGAACCTTACCACTGCACATTTCCTTTACCAATCTTCATTCTTTTGCAGTTCTAGTTTTGTTTAAGCTGAATGTACCTTGCTTTTATGTTCATCTTTTTGAAGTTCATCCATCTGAAGTATAATATTAAAAGTCAAATAATTTATTTTGTTTGAATTACAATTACAAATTCATTATTAACATTAAAGACACAAATATCAAGTTAAGGGTCACCCTGATGCAGCTTCTTTTGGACTTTTTGAGTTATTACAATAAATAACCAAAAATTTTTTTTTTTTTTTTTCATTTTAGCAAGTCAGTTATGCAAAGATTATATATTTTTTTCATTGTATAAAATAATACACGATGTAGAAAATCTGTCATGTTAATGTTATAAAAATTAACTAGGACATATTTGTAAGAAAAGCTAAGTGATTAGATTGATGTAATGTGTTGATATAAAACATATCTTTCTACAACACAGCACGTAATGAATGATTTTAATGGAAAACTATGAAACTGAAAATGTATGTTACTTTAAAATGTTTCCCAAAGAGAATTCATGGTAACTATATTTGAAATCTTTATAAAGTATTTGAAGAAGTTGCATTTGAAAATAGTAATAATGTAATTAAAATGTAAATGAATTTTTTATTAAAAATATAATTACAGAATATCATTTTTTTTTGTATACATATTCAAATATTCTTTAAAAGTTTAAAGAAATTTCTTCAAAAATTTTTAAGTAATAAATTTCTAATTATCATAGTAATATTATTTTGTTATAATTATAACACAAGAAATATATCAAGTAAAGGATGTCATTATATATGGATCCTTTTATATATCTGTTAATTATGGTAATTGAAATTTTACAGAGAAACCATTCATTTTATCAGAATATTTGTTTGGTGTGCAGTTTTCTAAAAAAAAAATTAATGGGGGATACAAACAAAATAATCAGTTTCTTAATTAAGTTTCTTTATTTTGCCTAATAACATTAAATAAATCAAAATATTTATTGGATTCCAATAAAAACATTTTTGTTATATTAATACTATTAATAAATTATTTTATTCAATAAAAATATTACAAACTGACTGAAAATATTCAAAACTCTTTAAAAGAATGCACTTGCATAAGTTAAATTATCACTCTGAATAGGAGCATGTACTCTATTTTCAAAGCAAATGTAAAAAGTTGTATCTGATGCATGTAGTGTGAAGTTGTTATTATTTTTTTTATAGTATAATTTTATTCTTGTTTCTAAAAATTTGCATGTTAAACAAAATCCTGTTGAAATTGTATGTATAATTGATATCTATAGAATCAGACGGTTTGTCTCCAGAGTGTTTTAGCACAAAGGCTGTTTCCAAAGATGTCACAGAATATTCAAGTAAGTAATAGTTTATATTTCATAAATTCATATAAAGTTAAATGTAAGATTGTGGAATTTGAATTATGTTTAAAAAATTCCCAAATAATTTGTTGAGTAAATACTGGCATTTTTTGTTGAATTAATGTGTAGATATTATTAATGTTACAAAATTTTAATTGTTATAAGTGTACCAAATATTTTAAATTTTACTTGAAAGTTATATTCATAATAAAAGTTATTTAAATTTATTAACCATATTTAAAGATAACTGTTTAAAATAACAACTTGTTATTGATGATTTATATATATTTTTAATATTTTTTTATTTCATCTTCAAAACATTTTACATTATGTATTTCATATCACTATATTATGCATAATAAGATGAAAATCTATTTACTTTAAAGAATTAATATATAATAATATTATTGTTTTAAGTACTGTATATCTGATACATATTTAGGAATATATTAGAATAATAATTCATTGAATGGAAAAAAGCATTTTAATTAGAAGGTAAAAAGAATTATGTATTAAGATACCAATGTAGATGTTAAGTTTAAAAGAATCGAAGCTAGAAGAGAGTTTAAATCACATAAAAGTACACCTTTGAACAGTTTCCCAGCAATGTTTTTCTTTTATGACAAATATTTTTCGTTCCCTTCATAAGCCTGCCTCAGGCCTACCAGATTCCAAATTTCAGTGTTCTAAATTGGAATGTTAACTTGTATGATGACATGTTTTCTGTAGATTTTAAAATTTTAAATTTTGAAAATGATATAACTACCAGGTTTTCTACCTGGTACTATCTGAAAGTAAAGCATTTTATACCTGAAATAATACCATACCTATTTGTTGATATTTTGCTGCACTTTTTTCAAGCAGTTGTTTGATCATGAAGATGTGATCTGTTATTAATTTTCCTGATGTGAAACCACACTGTTCTTGTAGGGTCTAGAATTCATTTTCCAATTTTTTTATTTAATCATACTCTCTGAACACTTCATTACAAATGTCTCTGTAATTGATACATATCTTTTTGTTGTATTTTATGAATATTGATATTAGTTAGTCCAGATTTATTTCATTTGGGATCTATCCTTTCAGTATATCACTTATTAGTTTAGTTATCAACTTGAGTATATTGTCCTCTGTACTTCAGTAATTCAAAATTGATTCCATTTGGAACTGGCATTTTGCCATTCTTCTCAGCTGCTAATTTCTTCTTTTCTTTCTTTTCTGTCACATTAAAATCTTGTTCCATCAAAGATGAAATTACTCATGTCTTTCAGACAAGTTCTTTTCTGTCTTCATTCATTAGTTCATTGAAGTATGATTTCCAGTCTTTCATTGTTATCAAATTTATCTGCACTGTGTTTTGATTTTCTTCTCATTGACTTTAAGATTGGCCATGCTCTGCTGATTGTTGGAAACCTACTTTGAACCTTACCACTGCACATTTCCTTTACCAATCTTCATTCTTTTGCAGTTCTAGTTTTGTTTAAGCTGAATGTACCTTGCTTTTATGTTCATCTTTTTGAAGTTCATCCATCTGAAGTGTGCATTTTTTTATTGTATCTACTTCAGTTGTTCCTTAATTAAATATTGCTTTTTTTTATTCTCTGGTTTACTGTCAGGATCTTTTAGGCTACTTTCATTGTTTTTTCTTTTATATAGCCATAGCTATCTTTTGCTCTACTGCTGTTTTGTATCACTACGTATGTATACCACATATGTAAATCAATCAATTAATGGTCATGCTAGACCACAATGTACTTTTCCTTTTAATATAATAACATTTTATCATTTTATATATATGTTACTGTGAATGACCGAAATGGGGGGAATGTCAACATTCACACAGTTGTCTGTGGTGAATGTCAACATTCACACCGTTGTCTGTGTCGACATTCACAAATGTTGGTCTTTCACAGTAACATATATATATTAAAAATGTTTATAAAATTACCTAACAAAAAAGAATTTGTAGAAAAACCATAAATTAAAAGTTGAAAAAGAATTATAAATAAATAGAGAAATTAATAAAATTACTGTATACTTAAAATAGTTAAAAGTATAAAATAATTTTGTAACTAGTTAATGTGTTTATTAATGTTTGTTTATTAACCCGTAAAAATTGATTATAAATTAATATTTTTTGATGATATCTTTAATATATTAATTTCCACATGTATTCAAAATAATATATAAAGACATATACTTTACAATACTAAATCATATTTACTATTAATTAAGAAAATTTTCAAAATCATATGTACAGTTGTTACTTGGTAAGTACTTCACTATAACCA